AAAGGCTTTCAGTTTTCCCCATTAAGGATGATGTTGGCTTTGGGTTTTCATATATGACCTTTATTCTGTTGAGGTAGGTTCCCTCTAAACCTACTTCGTTGAGGGTTTTTAGCATGAGTGGATGTTGTAGTTTGTCAGATGCCTTTCCTGCATCTGTTGAAATGATCATATGTTTCTTATCCTTTCACTTATTGATGTAATGTATCAGAACTGATTCAGGAATACTGAACCACCCTTACAGCCCAGGAATAAATCCCACTTGATCCTGGTGAATGGTTTTTTTAAATGTACTGTTGAACTTGGTTTGCCTGTATTTTGTTGAGGATTTTTTCATCTATGTTCATCAGAGATACCAGCCTGTAGTTCTTTTTTTTTTTTTTTTTTTTTTGTGGTATCTTTATCTGGTTTTGGTATCAGGGCAATGCAGGCCTCGTAGAATGAATTTGGAAGTTTCCTTCCTTTTCTGTTTTTTGGAATAGTTTAAGAAGGATAGATATAACTCTTCTTTAAATGTTTAATAGAATTTGCATGGGAGCCATCTGTCCTGGACTTTTGTTTTTTGGGAGTTTTTTGATTACTGATTTAGTTTCTTTGCAGGTTATCAGTCTGTTCAAATTTTCTATTTCTTCTTTTTTCAGTTTTGGTAGGTTGTATGTTTCTAGGAATTTATCCATTTCTTCTGAGTTGTCCAATTTGTTGGCATATAGTTTTTCATAATGTTCTCTTATAATTGTTTGTATTTCTATGGTGTTTGGTGTTATTTTTTGCCTTCCTCATTTGTGATTCTATTTATTTGGGTCCTTTTTCTTTCTTGATGAGTCTGGCTAGAGGTTTATCAATTTTATTGATTTTTTTCAAGGAACCAACTCCTAGTTTCATTGCTTTTTGTTCGTTTTTTTTTTTTAGTTTCTACATCATTTATTTCTGCTCTGATCTTTATTATTTCCTTCCTTCTGCTGATTTTATGTTCCTTTGTTGTTCTTTCTCTAGGTCCTTTAGGTGTAAGGTTGGGTTGTTTATTTGAGATTTTTCTTCTTGAGGTAGGCCTGAATTGCTATAAGCTTCCCTCTTAGAACCGCTTTTGCTGCATTCCAAAGGTTTTAGACTGTTGTATGTTCATTTTCATTTGTTTCCATGTACTTTTTTTATTTCTTCTTCTATTTCCTGGGTGACCCATTCATTGTTTAGTAGCAGGTTATTTAACTTCCCTGTATTTGTGGTCTTTCCAGAGTTTTTCTTGTGGTTGACTTCTGGTTTCATAGCATTGTGGTCAGAAAAGATGCATAGTATGACTTTGATCTTTTTAAATTTGTTGAGGCTTGTTTTGTGGCCTAATGTGTGGTCTATTCTGGAGAATGTTCCGTGTACACTTGAAGAGAATGTGTATTCTGCTGTTTTAGGATAGAATGTTCTGAGTATATCTGTTAAATCCATCTGGTCCAGTGTGTTATTCATAGCCATTGTTTCCTTGTTGATTTTCTGTTTAGATGATCTGTCCATTGATATAAGTGGGGTGTTAAAGTAACCTATTATTGTATTATTATCAATGAGTTCCTTTATGTTTGTTACTGTTTTATGTATTTGGGTGTGCCCATGTTGGGGGCCTAAATATTTACAATTGTTATAACTTCTTGTTGGATTATCCCCTTTATTATTATCTACTGCCCTTCTTGGTCTCTTGTTACAGTCTTTGTTTTAAAATGTATTTTGTGTGATATAAGTACTGTTATTACCCTCACTGTCTTTTGACATCCATTTGCATGATAAAAGTTTCTCTGTCTCCTCACTTTTTATTTTTTAAGATCTATTCATTTATTTACTGAGAGTGAGAGAGAATGAGTGGCAGGGAGGGGCAGAGGGAGAGGGAGAGAGAATCCCAAGCAGACTCCATGCTGAGTGTGGATCCTGAGGCTGGGCTTGATCCCAGGACCCCAAGATCATGACCTGAGCCGAAACCAAGAGTCAGACGCTCAATGGACTGTGCCACCCAGATGACCCTCCATCCTCTCATTTTCAATCTGTAGGTGTTCTTCGTCTAAAATGAATCTCTTGTATGTGGCATATAGATGGGTCTTGTTTTTTATCCGTTCTGTCACCCTGTGTCTTTTGATTAGAATGTTTAGTCCATTTCCATTCAAAGTAATTATTGATAGATAGGTATTTATTGCCATTTTATTACTTGTTTTGTGGTTGTTTCAGATTTTCCCTGATCCTTTCTTCTCCTTCTTTCATGGTTTGCTGGTTTTCTTTAGTGATATATTTGGATTTCTTTCTCTTTATTCCTTGCATATTAGTGGTTTTTGACTTGTGATTACCGCTAGGTGTGTATATAACATCTTCTGCATATAGGTTCTGTATTAATTTAATGGTTGTTTAAGTTTGAACCCATTCTTTACTCCTCTTCTCCCCAGGTTTTAGGTATCTTGTGTCCTATTTCATATCCTTTTATTTTGTGAGTTCCTTGACTGAGTTTTTACAGAAACATTCATTTTTATTGCTTTTGTGTCTTCTACTTTCATTCTTTCATTTTTGGTCTTTCCTTTCCACTCCAAGAGTCCCCTTTAATATTTCTTGTAAGGCTGGTTTAGTGGTCACAGACTCCTTTAGTTTTGTTTGTCTGGGAGACTCTTTAATCTCTCCTTCTGTTCTTAATGATAGCCTTGCTAGGTAGAGTATTCTTGGGTGCCGATTTTTCCCATTTAGTACTTTCAGTATGTCATTCCACTCCTTTCTGGCTTGCAAAGTTTCTGTTGAAAAATCTCCTGCTAGCCTTATGGGTTTTCCCTTCTAAGTTAATGACTTCATTTCTCCTGCTGCTTTTAATATTTTTTCTTTATTACTGTATTTTGCAAATGTAATTACAGCATGTCTTGGTGTGGATCTGCTTTGGTTGATTTTGATGGAGATTCTCCATGCCTCCTGGATCTGCATATCTGCTTCCTTCCCCAGAGTAGGGAAGTTTTCAGCTATTATTTCTTCAGATAAATTATCTGCCCCATTTCCTGTCCTGGGACTCCTGTGATATGAATGTTATTATGTTTGATGGGGTCACTGAGTTCCCTAAGTTTATTCTTTTTTTATATATTTCTTTTTTTTTCCCCTCTTTTGTTCAGCTCGATTATTTTCCATTACTCTGTCTTCTGGTCATTAATTTGTTCCTCTGCTTCTTTCAGCCTGCTGTTCATTCCATCAAGCATGTTTCTCATTTCATTTTTCAAGCCCTTTATCTCTGTGTTATTCCTTATCTGTGTTAATGGTCTCACTGATGTCCTCCATTCTTTTCTCAAGTCAGGTGACTATCCTTATGATCATTACTTTAAATTCTCCATCAAGTGTGTGCTTATATCTGTTTCTCTTAGATCTCCAGCCATGGCCTTGTCCTGTTCTTTCATTTGGGACAAATTCCTCTGTCTTCTCATTTTGTTTTTGTCTCTGTGTGTTAGGAAAGTTAGCTACATCTCCTGTTCTTGAGGAAATGGCTATATGAAGAGAGGTCCTGTAGTACTCTGCCGTGTAGTGCCCCTTGGTCCCCAGGGCCTGGTGTGTCCAGGAGTGTCTGTGTGCTTTGTGTGCTCTGCTGTTGTGATCTGGTCTCTCTGTCCTTTAGGCGAGTCATCTGTAGAGGCTGTCTTTTCCTGTTGTGAGCAGTGTTTGTTCCCTGGCTTGAATGTGTATTTTATCAAGGTGTGCTCTCGTCTGCTTGTGAAATGGGACTTCTTGCCACTGCTGCCTGAACTAAGGCCCTGCAAAACTCCTAGGTAGGGAGATGTGTGGGTAGGGGTTTGGGCCCATCTTCTGTGGAAGGGGGCCCACCACTGGGACTGAGGCAAGGGTGCCTGGGAAGGGCCATTCCACCAGAGTGGAGGCAGGGTCGGGATTGTCTTAAGCAATTTAGGTAGTGTTTATGAGCACTGGTTCCTGCAAATGGCTGGTGTTTATGCTGAGGAACCATGAAGGGAAATGGTGCCAGCCAGTTCCTTTATTCTTGGAGGGGGTCTCTGATCGCTGTCTCTCTGGGGCATGCCCCAAGATGAGCAACTAACCTTCCCACTATGTGCCCCAGGCATTCTTCAGATTGCTGTTTCCATGTTATATGTCTGCAGGCTGTTTGCCCTGCCTTTTCTCCATTAGCAGCCCGAATGTCCTCCTCCGAGTGCTCTCCTAGAACCACGCACACTGACTAGGGTTTAAGCCCCATTGGTTGCAGGAACTCATGAAATTCAGGCCCTCTCACTTTGCAAGCCAAATACTATGAGGATTTGTTTTCCCTGTATGCTCCCCTGTGTGTTGGTGCGTTTCTCACCCTTCTCAGCGACTACAGCTCCCTCCCCACCAGAGTGGCCACAATCTGTTTTTCCCAAACCATGTCTCTGCATTTCCTACCTTCTTCAGTGAGGCCTCTTCTCTACCTTTAGTTGTAGAGTTTGTTTTACCAGTCTTCAGATTGATTTCTGGGGTATTTAGGATGATTTGATAGTTACTTTGTTGAATTCATGGGATGAGGTGAGCCTCTGGGCCTCTTACTCTTACACCACCACCTTCCCCCAGGATTTTGAGTTTTTCATTTGTATTATTTTTAATTTCTGTTCATGCTTCTGATGGCTAATATATCACCGTAATGTTTAAACTAATATTAAGCTCTTTTGATAATAACTTCCTTCAGCTTTGCGTTATAACAGAAAAAGTCTTTCACTGGGAGCCAGGGCAAGTGTTTACTGCTAAGTGGTCCTTGGAGGTGATTAAATAAATGGTACAGTTTTGTGCAACTGTAAATATTCTATGATTATCAAAGTTGAGTATCGATAACAGCTACTTTGTTAGGAGGTGATCCCCGTCTCCCATTTTTTTTTCATATTTCAAAAGTATGTATAGTTTATATTCCTGAAATAATACTTAAGGATTATTTTCTTAATTATTTTATTTTAGTGACTTACTGTTTTTAATTCTGAATTACAAGTTTCATTTAATTTCCTAACTAGGAATTTCATTTGCTTCCCTAGCCATATCCAGCAAACGAGAACTCCAAACTTGCCTCCGAGAAGGTGGATGACTATGAACATGCAGTAGAGTACATGAAGAACAGTCAAGTAAGGTTACCTTTGGTAAGTTTTCGTGTATAGCATGTTTTATAGAAAACGAAAGGAAAGCTTATATGGAAACTTACAAAATTATTTCATTGGTTTACAAATCAGATACATGTTAGTCTTTTTCCCCTTTTTGGAGCCGTAGAATAGAAAATAAAATATTTCAATACTGAAAATGGAGTGCTATATCTGAGGCAGTAAGGGTGGGGAGAAAGTTACAAACTTGGATGGAGAGGTTTTGCCTATATCATATCTTAACCTAGGCACTGCTGACTCATCGTGTTCCATAGATAAAATTCACGGGCTCATGAACTTAATGAAGAAAAATTACATCTCCATTTTCACTGACTTCTGCATGGAAGTTCACACTTTCTTTAATTGAGTGCAATAGTACCACAATGGTATTAGATATAGCTGTGACTTTGTTATCAGTAGAAATTACAGATACTTATATAACACATTTCTGCTGACATCTTAGACTATCATTTACATTCATCACTTCTTCAAAATTACATTAGTGATTCTATCTTGTTAGTGCATGTGCAAAGCAGCATATATATGACTATGTCAATATGTTTTTTAATATTTTGGTAACTATTTTAAACATAATTTATTTCCTTTGAATGATACGGATTTTGTGATTCCTTTGTAAAAACACAAAAATCTTATTCCCTCCTATAATGCTGTTGGATGTTTCAAGGTAGGCTTTTTTATTTTTTCATTCTCCAAGTTAAAAATATATGATAGATGCTTTTTCCCATTACAGACATGCACAAATACCCTCTACACAAATTCACCCTTTGGTTGAGAATCAGTGGTTTAGAGAATTAGGCAGGAGAGCAGAATTCAGAGGATGACATTAAAATCTCATTGATTTCTTTTACATATTTAGGTCACAATAATATTAACAGTAAATTGTGTGTATAGTTCACCCTTGGACAGTGTGGGGGTGACTCCCTATGCAGTCAAAAGTAAGCCTATAACTTTTGACTCCCCGAAAGCTTAATTACTGATAGCCAGGTGTTGACCAGAAGCCTTCTGATAACTTGATCAGTTAATTAATACATATTTTGTATATGTATTTCATACTGTATTCTTACAAAAATGTAAGCTAGAGAAATGTTACTAAGAAAATCATAAGGAAGAGAAAACACATTTACAGTATTGTGTTTGTTGGAAAAAAAATGCACATATAAGTATACCTGCACAGTTCAAACCTGTGTTGTTCAAGGGTCAACTTATATTTATGGTGAAGTAGGGGTGTTTGGGCACTTGTGTCCAGTATTGAAAAATATGCATTTATGTACTTCCATATTCAATCTAAAATGTTCTTTCTTTTTTTTTAAATTCCAGGGAACCTTAAGTAAGTCAGAGTGGGAAGCCACAAGTGAGTATATCATCAGTATAGATTTACTGACATTTTCAAAGATCGTTTCAGAGTGATGGTTATAATTTGGAAACTCTGGAATTTTTCTGACACATATTAGGGTGTATGTGTTTATGTTTACGTAGAATCCCTATGTATGTCTAACGCCCCCTTTCTTGCACAGCTGTTTAGTGCCAAGAGAAAATATATGCAGAATGTTCCTTAATATAAACTATCATGAGCATTCTTAAACATTTTCATTGCCTACTCATTACTACGTAGCCATCTGTATTTGCTATCTTTACCTCAGATTTCTGTTGGAAATTTTGGCTTATAGAACACTACCATGTATTTTGTTTTTAGCCGCTCTGATGTTGACAACAAAGACATAATTAATAAGTACTGGACCATTTAGTGAAGCAGCCATGAGCAGGATATTTTAGAGGGATGTGTGGTTGGGAAGGGCCTGGTACAGAGACATTCTGAAGTGAGGTGCCTGTCTTTGGAAGAGAAGTCAGAGGCCTGGCAAATATGTGAAGTCCGCGGATGTTGAGGAAGTGAAAGCCCAGACCCTCAGTGTTAAGATGACGATAATACCCTTATATGGCTGCCCTGAGGACATAAAAGGTAGTTCCCCCTGTTCATTTAAGTATTTGTTGATTATGTTGAAGGCGTAAGTGGTAATCAGGGACGATCCATTTGATAAGTTGAGTATTGATTTATGTAAAGTTCTGTGAAAGGCTTTGGGGGATAAAAAAAGTAAACAGTTGTAATCTCTACTTTCCAGATGTATACTGTCTAATGGAAGAAACAGACACAAATAAGTGCGGTACTAGGCAAACTGTTTTAAGTGCTGAAGTTTCTATAATGGGGAAAAAAGATGAAGGAGAGCCTAAGGAAAAGTAGTAAAAATCTGGAAAATAGTAATACTTGATATAATTGAGTATTTAACATGTGCTCAAGCATGACTGGAGACTTTTAATATGTTCTAACTCATTTAATCCTCAGTGCTAAGAAAGCACTTCAGTAACTTGTCTGAGGTCACAGAGCTAACCCAGGTGATTCATACTAGTAACCGTGGCCTCGTGTGTGAAAGGATTGTTCTTAGGACTTGCCGAATTGGAGAGAGGAAAAGGAAAGAACACAAATAGAGCCAATATGTTGAGCCCATTTGTCTCAGAATATTGCTACCCTTAGTGGAGATGGGATTAGAGGACCAACAGACTGGGAAATGTGTGCCTAAACCTGTACATTTCATTACTTTTCCTAGACTGGAGATGGGACAGTTAGATTAGATAGCCTGCCAGTCCCAAAGTATGATGTAAGGAAAACAGCTTTGGCCACAGGTAGTGATGGTGGTACTAGCTGTAGTTTAGAACTGTATTTCTGTACCTTAGTGTGGACTTAGTGATAGCATGCAGATGATGAATTAGATGCCCCCCAGACCATGGAGGGAGATGGGTTAGTGATGTGAAAAGCAGTAGGAAAGGAACAGTGGTCACATTGCAGCCAGGATCTAGCATGTCTGGATCAGTGTGTTCTTTGATGAATTATACTATTCTAAACTGGAGCACTCTGTGGACTGGAGAGTATCTTGCCTGGTGTCACACACAGTCTAGTAAGTTCAAGAAGCAATACTTCAAACTCCTACTGGTCTAATCATTAAGCTCCTATTACCAGAACCTGCTGTTCGTCTAGAAGATTCTTTAAATGTGAAAGGAAAGTAGAGAATTGTTGCCGATTTGCTTTTAGAAGTGGTTCAAGATTTATTTCTTTAAATCCCAGTTGATATGCCTGCATGGAAGGCATTTTACACAAGTGAGACGTTCAGAATGTTTGAGTTAGAAAGGAAAGAAAGTTATTTATTGCTGATCTGAATTCAAACATTGCATCTTAGTGGTTTTAAATGACCCTAGATTTAGGGCAGGTGAGGACTGCTGGGTTGTTTGCAGTAGGTACCAATGTGTTTGGGTTGGGTTTGCCAAGGTTAGACTGCGGAAGGATCGCTTGGAGTGTGGGCCAAGCTAAATAATGCTGGCTGTTCCTAAGTCTTGTAACATACTTGTGAATGTCTTGGACTGCTTTGCTTTCTTGTCTTGTAGAAGAATCTACCATGTTGATATCACCCTGACTGTTCTCTGTTCATCTACCTACTCTACTGCCAGCAATGTTTCATTTCTCCTAAAAGAAATTGGGAACTGGTAGATAAGGAACAGACAATAGCATTACCAAAGTAACATTTTGGAAGGACTGGTGTGATACTCCTGGACAGGTTGAGGAAAAAGCTAGAGGATTGGGAGGTTTTTACAGGGTCTGCAGTCATTCATCTGTACCCCGTTCAAAAGTTAACTCAAGAAGGGAGGACACAGAGGTACATGGCCTACTATCTTGACTCGCTGACTGAATGTTCTAGCATACACACTGAACATCCTTGTGATGTTTTGAGGATTTGTCATTTTTTCAGGGGTTTGCTTACCGTAAAATCTATTAGTGTCTTATTAGAAGATGTAATAGGTTTGAACTTCAGTGTGATCCAGAATGAGGAACCATAGATGCACTTAGATGTCTTTGCGTGAACACATGCCAAAGCAGGAAATCATATTTAAGGGAGAGTATTCTTAGGAATGGAATATCACTGTTGGGGCCAGATAAATATCTCTAAGCAACAATTATCATGTAGCTTTTGGCTCACTTTCCTTATCAGTCCTTACAACAGTTGGATAATTGGATGAATTTTAACTTGCACATTATATATGTTCCTTATAATTCTTACTAGTTTTTTTCCCCCCCAAATAGAAAATCTAGATAACCAATGCCAGAAGTAATCATGGTAGTGCAGTTATTCTACCTGTCTTGCTCCAGATAAAAAGAATTAAGTTATAAGATTTTTTAGTTTTAATTTTCTTTGCCTTTATACTTTTAATTTTTCTTATCTCAAACTGTTTTTAGAGATTTTTAGAGCTGTTAAGTTGGTTTTCTCAAGAGCTGTAATGTGACTGAGTATTATAATAAGTGGATATTTGTTTTCAGGTAAACAGCTATGACCCCATATCTGCTTAAGTATGACTCAAAATAATTGAGAACTCTTAGAGATAATGGGATTTTTCCCTTCAGAAGCTTGAGAATTTTCACCAAATTCCAAACAGGACTGAAATTGTTCTGTTTAGCCTATGGATATGAGAAACCAAACTCTAATTTTTATTATTTTCTTTTTAGGCATTTACTTGGTTTTTGCATTTGAGAAGCAGCAGTGAGCCATATACGCACCAGGACAGCTGTGTCCTGTCCTGTACAGATTTGAATGATCCATCCTAGATTTGACAACTTTCTGTTTGTTTGTTTTAATTATTCTAAATGTGCAGGATGCTGCCGGAAGCTCCAGTGTATAAATTCAACATTTGCTGTCTGTGACAGATGAACTTTTGTGTGTGTATATAAGAATGAGTTGGGACCTTTGTCTTTAAAAATCTATTTTTAAGTAATGTTCTAAGAATTCCATTTGCTGCACTACTCTCTTAGTGCATAAAAATTATAGTATAACTTGTTAGAGCTGCTGAACTCTTCCACAGTGCTCTGATTTGTTCAGTGTTTGTTTATAGTATTAAATTCATTGCAGTTGTAGAATTGATGAGGGAGCATACTGGTTTGTGGGGGTTTGTGCTCATTTCTGTAGTTTTGTCATATAGTATTTTTCAAGATTAAATGGATTGTGTTCTGTACAATTGAATGTGTTCAATATATATCACTAAAGTTGTAAGTTTAAAACAAAATTTTAGATGGCCATGAAAGTTATTTACCTAGAATTTTAGCCAGTTATTACATTTCATTATAAATACTAACTACTTTATATGCTAATATGATCTAATTCTGGAACTGGTTAGAATGTTTTATATGCCAGCATAAAATTGTTTTGGATTTTAGGGGCTTTATCTTAAGAATTTCCTTCCATAGCAATTAATGTTTCTGGTTATCAAGAATGTAATTAGACAGATTTTCCTTTCTTCATTGAACAAAAATGCCATAGTTGTTTTTCCACGATTTAATGAAAACCTGTCCCATGCGAACCTGTTGCACATTTTCCTCAGATACATGTATGGAACTGCAACAGGAGGATGAGACTAAAAGAAGCTGAAAAGCAGACTTCAGATGAATTCTCCCTGACATTAGATAGAGCTTACTGGCACTGTGTGCTGGGTAGATCCTTTACTCCCCTTCAGCCCCGAGAGAAGCAGTTCCTGCTCTTCTATTACAACATCATACTTTGTGCAGTAGGATGCCGCATCTCATCACCACTCAGAATTTGTATTTGCCATTTCAGAACTGTTAACCGTTTTTCAGCCCTGGCTTCTTGCTTGACTCCTCTTCCAAAACTGACACCTAGGTGAACTGTTGTCCTTACTTTACATTACTGTTTAAAACACTTGCCAGTGTTTAGGTATAGTGAAAAACTTACAAAGAACAAAGCAGAGCAATTATTGCATAGTCTTCTAAAAATCATTTATTTATGCATGGATTTAAAAGACATTACTTTCTGTAATTATCCAGAGTATTTGTTTAAAATGTGAGGTTTCTTAATTTGTTTATATATGTTGATTATTCATGGTGTTAGAATAATAGACCTTTTAACAAGAGAACATGGGTTACCTAATTTCTGTTTCTTGTGCAACTTGTCAATCTCCAAACTGTTACCAGTTTACAAAAATTAAGTCTTTTTGCCTTAATGGTGGTTTGCCATGTCATTTGGAGAAATAAATAATAGTATTTCTGACTATGGTGGCTGCCGTTAGCTAACAAAGGTTTGGTAATGGTGCTGGGCGGTAGGAATGGTGAGCTCTTAGTGTTACAAACACAACCAGGTTAATTTTAATTCTGGGAGAAGTTCCAGAAAGTATTTTGATAGTTTGATAGAGGATGTGGCTTCTTTATTATTTCCTATCATCATTTTCATTTAATGGTCTTAGCCAATTTTAAGCAACTAATAAAACATTTTTAGACTCTTGCTCTTTCCACTCCATGGATGATTTGTGGGAGAGAAGGATCCCCTGAAGGATGGAGTGATTGGTGGTAATACAGAGCAGAAAAGGAAGGTGGAGTCCCCCGGGGCCTTCACTGAAGGGGTAGAAAGGAGTAAAGGAAACCCAAGTGGACTGAGCCAATGTCTTCGCTCGCAGTGAGTGAAACTGTTGTGTGTACAGAAGGCACATGGAGCTGCACCCAGAGGATGCAGAGTTCTGGCATTGCCCTTGTGCTTGAGCTTTATTGTTCTCTTAGCCACCTCTGTTCTTCACTCCCGGATGCCTTCCTGCTGCAGCTAAGTGTCTGGGCAGTGACTCAGGAAGAACTTTAGGAAAAGGTGGATCCTGCCCATCACCAAGGTAAAAGCTGGGAGGATACACACTCCCCCCCGCCCCCCCACCACCATACCCACAGTCTCAGTGTTTGGGAATTTTCCATTCAAGACTTGTAACTGTTATGAAGGGGGCATGGCTCTTCACTATCAGGTCAGTGATGTGAAGTTTGTGGAAGTGATTATAGGCACTCCAGTTTGTCCTCTGAGGGTGAAAGTGAAGTGAAGATCAAACCAGCCACTTGTGGAGAGGACACAACCTGCGGATTGGGAGGATTGGTCTGGGGACATGGCTGGATTGTGGTATAACAAAGAACACTCAAGTTGAATTCTTTGGGCCTAGAATACACTAAAGGAGAGGCACCATGTAGCCATCATGTTCAGGGAGACAAACTGGCATCCAAAGGGGAGGTGTCCTAACCTGCACACCACGGCTGTCTGCAGGTAATGACTGTTCTTCCAGTGCCCACTGAGCCTCTGGTTCCAGTGTGACTTTCCAGAGAAATTTGCCTTCAGGAAGAGAAGGCATTGATTAGAGACTTTGACTTCTGTTAACTAATGTGCATAATGACTATGAAAGGTAGATTACCAGTAGAGTTTCCTAGCTGACCCTATCCCCAAACTTGAAAATGGAGATGTGATTGCTGCCTAAATTCATGTTAATAGCATTAATAGGGCATCAGAGGTGTGCAAAGTGATGGGGTTTGAGGCAGCGTGCAATGTTGGTCAGCAGTGGAGAAGTAGAAAAAGCATTGTCAGCTATCAGAAGTCCAGATCTCCAGTCACATTAGCTCTTATGGGGATGTATTCTTCAGTCTGTCTTAGCTTAACTGATACTATGTTATTTTGCTAAGTCTTCAAGTATCCTAGTGAAGATGTGGTTTCTTGTGAGGTCTGCCAGTGTGAATATTCTAGCTACTGAATATTATTTTTCACTGTTGATAACTTTTTGTTGTCTACTTCAGGCTTTGTATGTATTGTGAGCCAGTTACTGCCAACGTCTCTGGGTCTTCAAAGTAAGGCCAGATCCAGGGACCAGGGCTCTATAATAATTGTACTGAAATGCCTGTGGTATTTACTGGCCCTTTGGTCAAATAAAAAGCATAGGTATATGATGTTACCACCTCCCTAGTTGGTGTTATGTCAAATACTACATAACTGATGTTTCTTCATTTCTTGCCCTCTGATGGAGCAACATTCCTGATTCCTTGAAGGCAGTCAGTGTAGTGGCTCTTACACTTATTTATTTAGTGATATATGTGACTAGGCTGGGGGACAGCCAGCTCTTCACCTTCTCAATTTCTCTTCTGCTTCCATGTAATCCTGAAGCATGGGCTCCTGTTCCTCACTGCAATACTAAGCAAGTGTGGGACACCCAAAAGTACCCTCCTCAATTTGGGAGACTTTTGGGTTAGCCCCACAGCCCTCTGCTCCCTAGATTTATCCTGGGCCATGGTTCCTTGGGGACAGCATACCTTGGATACAGCCAGATTGACAACATTTATTAAGCTCCTTAGATCAGTTATTTTCCTAAATCTTTTATATGCGTTAATTCATTTTGATCCTTATAACTATATGAGCTAAGCACTGTTATCCCTGTTTTAATAATGGAGCTCAGCACAGAGAGAGTACAAAGTTGCCCAAGGCAGGGCGAAGATTTGAATACCCATATCCCACAAGTTAGGCCTGCAATCCAATCTCATGTTATACCCCTCTTCTCACCCATTCATTACTCACAACTTGATATGTTAACTGGTTGGTGCTCCAACCTTCTGATTCAAACTTTTGATACTTATTTTGGGGCGCCTGGGTGACTCATTCAGTTAAGTGTCTCCCTTTAGCTCAAATCATGGTCCTGGGATCCTGGGATTGAGCCCTGTGTTGGGCTCCCTGCTCAGAGGGGAGCCTGCTTCTCCCTCTGCCCTTCCCCCCTGCTTATGTACATGCGTGTTCTCTCTCTCTCAAATAAAATCTTAAAAAAACCCCAAAACAACCTTTGATACTTAAGTATCCCCTGAGAGGAGCATTTATCTTGCATAAGAGGCTTTGGGGCAGAGAGAGCAAGAGGACATCTGACTGTACTTAGGGACCAAGGGTAAAAAGTATCAACAGGCAGAAGGGCAAAGATAGACTTGGACTTCACATTTTGGTAGACCTGCTCCTTTAGCAACCAGTCCTATAGCAAATCTAGTTTAGTCTGCATCTTAGGGGGTGGGGGGTGTTAGTCTGCATCTTAGGGGGTGGGGGATGGTTCTTTCCCCACCCTCACCATTGGGAAATACCAAGAGGTGGGAGCACAAGTGTGACTATAGCCAAAGGGAGAGGCCAAGAGAGAAGGAATCATTTCTTCAGTCTGAGTTGATTACCCAGGCAGAGGCAAATCATTTTGTTTTAACTTTTAATTGAAGTATAACACACACAGGTTGGTTTTTAACAAATGGAACACAAATACAGTCATCACTTCAATCAACAAACTATTACCACCCCCTGCAGGAGCCCCCCTCATGTTCTCTTTCACTTACTACCTCCCCAAGGGTAACCACTGTCTGACTTCTAAGAACATAGATTAGTTTTGTCTGTTTTTGGACATAATATAAATGGAATCAAATCGTATGTATTCTCTTGTATCTGGCTTATTTGCTGTACATTATGTTTGTAAGATTTTTGTTGCATGTATTTGTACGTGGTTCCTTCTCATGGCTGTATAGTATTCCATTACATAAATAAACCATATATTTATCACATGGATGTTTGGTTCATTCCCAGTTTTGGAACTATTAATAGTACTGCCTCAAATATTCTACTACATGAATTTTGGTGCACCTAGGTACTCATTTCTGCCTAGCAGTGGAATTGCAGGGTCACAGTATGTACATATGTTCCACTTTACTGGATACTGCCAGTTTTCCAAAGTTCCAGTTGCCCTACACTCAGTAGTGTCTTGTCTTTTTCATTTCATTTTGGCAGGTATGTAGTGGTATCTCATTGTGGCTTTAGTTTTCGTTTTACTGATTATTAATGAGATCGAGCACTTTACATATGATTATTGCCTTTTGACTATCCTCTTGTTAATGTCTGTTTAGGTTTTTACCCACTTTTCTATTGGACGGACTATCTTTTGTATTGACTTGTGGTTTTCAAAAATATATCTTTTCTGGATGCATGTCATTTGTTGAGTGTATTGAGAGAATGTTGAGTGTATTGAGAAATATATATATATTTCATATATATATATATGAAAAGCTATTTTAATATAGTATACAATATTCTCTTTCATAGTTGGCATATTTTGCTTAACAAATATTTGTCTATTCCAAGATCATGAAGATGTTCTACGTTTTCTTTTAAAATCTTTTATGTTTCACTGTTCACTTTTAAATCTGAAATCATACTGATTTTTTGTTTTGTTTTTGTTAATAGTGTGAGGTAGGGTTTAAAGTAGAAGTTTTCCCTTTATGGATTTCCAGCTCTCCCAGCATCATTTACTGAGAAAAAACATCTTTTCCCCCTAAACCACAGTTTTTCACCTTTGTCACATTTAAGGTGATTATACATGTTTGCATTTGTTTCTGAATTCTGTTCTGTTCCACGGGTCACCTTACTTATCCATGCATCAATACCACATTATCTTAATTATCTTTGTAATGGATCTTGATATCAGTAACAGGAGACAAAGGTAGTTTTAGCTTGTTAATTAGGTTGAACAAAGTGAAGAATGATAAATGATGAATGCATAGAGATAGGCAGGAGTGGGAAGAAACCTGGATATTCTAAAGGCAGTGGAAAGCCACAAGAGGATTATATCAATGTGGTTATTTTATGTTTTTAAAAGAGAAGCCTGATAAAGATAGAAAAGATTTGAACAGCCCTATTAACCAACTTAACCTAAATGTTATCTATAAAACACTTCACACAACAGCAAAATATACATTTTTTTAGGCATAAATAAAATATTCTCCAGAGTAGACCATAGAACAAATGTCAATAAAATTAAAAGGATTAAAATCATACAAAACATTTTTTTCTGACCACAGTAGAATTACATTAGAAATCAACAGCAGAAGCAAATTTGGGAAATCCCCAAATATTTGGAAACTAAACCAAAAAACATTCTAAATAGCCCAGCTCAAGAAAGAAATGACAAGGAAAATCAGAAAATATTTTGAGCTGAATGAAAACACATCAGGATGTATGGGATGAAGCTAAAGCAGTACTTAGAGGGAAATGTATAGCTATAAAAACCTATATTGGGGGGGAGGGAAGATGGTAGAGGAGTAGGGGACCCTATTTCAACTGGTGCCCGGAATTGAGCTGGATATCTACCAGACCACTCTGAGCACCCACGAAACCAGCCTGAGATGTAAGAAGATCTGGATCTCTACAAACAGAATATCGCAGGCAGTTGGTTTTGAGATATGAAGCGGAGAGCCGTGATTCTGCGGGCAGATATCGGAGGATAAACGGAGGAGGGAGGTTGCCTGGAAGTGGGGATCCTACACCGCCTGTGAGTGACAGCCTAGCGCGCTGCGGACGGGGCACAGACTTGCAGACCGGTAGCGTCGGGAAAGGACTTTAGGGCAGCCCCCGGGGTGGAAAACCAGACTGGAGGGGTCGCGAGCATGCAAACTGCAGGCCCCCCTGACAGAAACCAGAGCGACGGTCGAGAGCACGCGAACTGCAGCCTTCGAGTCAGAAACCGGTGTGCCGGGGTCGGGCCCGTGAACTGCAACCGCCAGGAGTGGAAACCCCAAGTGGCGGAGTCATGCGTGCGTGAACTGGGAGTGGCTGGCAGTTTGAGAAGCACAAAGGGCAGAGACGTGCCCCAACCTGGAGGCAGGACTGGGAGCACTGCTGAGGTGCGCACAACCCAGGACGCTTCAGTTTATAGCAACACTGACAGAAATGGAGACAGTGTGGCCTGGAGAGCTCACTGAAGAACAGACTGGGGTCTCTCTGCTCTGAGGCAGAGGGTTGGAAATGGTCTCTTCTGCTCTGACTCGTGGAAGAGACGCGGAAAGCCGCCAGGGAAAGGTGCCAGAGAACAAAAGCCCCAAAGACTGATTCCCACTGAGCCCATCCCCCACCACAGGGGCGCAGGGCAACTCTGCCCGAACAGGGTTGCCTGAATAACAGCGCAGCAGGCCCCTGCTGCAGAAGACAGGCTGGGAAAACAAGAGGCCAGCAACCCTAAGGTCCCAAGAAAACAGGTGCACCTTGCTTGGGTTCTGGTCAATAATTTGGACTCTATACATTCCCTCGAACACCCATCAACAGAATGACTAGGAGGAGGAGCCCCCAAAACAGAAAAGACTCAGAGATTATGACTTATGCTGCAGATTTCCAAATGGATGCAGATATAACCAAGATGTCGGAGATGGAATTCAGGCTAGCAATTGTGAAGACAATGGCTAGAATGGAGAAATCAATTAATGGCAACATAGAGCCTCTAAGGGCAGAAATAAATGGTGAATTGGCAGAACTTAAAAATGCTATCAATGAGATCCAATCCAATCTAGATAATCTAAAAGGTAGGGTAACTGAAACAGAAGAGAGAATAAGTGATCTGGAAGACAGTATAATAAATAAAAAGGGAAAAGAGGAGGCCAGGGAAAAACAACTCAGAATCCATGAAAATAGAATCAGAGAAATAAGTGACACCATGAGGCATTCCCGGAGGGAGTGGAGAGAGAGAGAGGGCTAGAAGACGTATTTGAGCAAATCGTAGCTGAGAACTTCCCTAATCTGGGGAATGAAAAAAACATTCGAGTCCTAGAGGCAGAGAGGACTCCTCCTAAGATCAAGGAAAACAGGCCAACGCTCTGGCATGTAATAGTAAAACTTGCAAATCTTAGAACCAAGGAAACCATCTTAAGGGCAGTTAGGGGGAAGAGATTCCTTACGTACAGAGGGAGGAACATCAGAATAACATCAGACATATCCACAGAGACCTGGCAAGCCAGAAAGGCCTGGCAAGACATATTCAGGGTACTAAATGAGAAGAATATGCAGCCAAGAATACTTTATCCGGCAAGGCTGTCATTTAGAATGGATGGAGAGATGCAGAGCTTCCACGACCAGTAGAAGTTGAAAGAATATGTGACCACTAAGCTGGCCCTGCAAGAAATATTAAGGGGGGTTCTATAAAAGGAGAAAGACCCCAAGAGTGATCTACAACAGAAATTTACAGGGACAATCTATAAAAACAACGTCTTCACAGGCAACATGATGACAATTAATTCATATCTTTCAATAATCACTCTCAATGTGAATGGCCTAAACGCTCCCATAAAACGGCACAGGGTTGCAGATTGGATAAAAAGACAGGACCCATCCATATGCTGTCTACAAGAGACTCATTTTGAACCTAAAGATACGTCCAGACTGAAAGTGGAGGGATGGAGATCTATCTTCCACGCCAGCGGACCTCAAAAGAAAGCTGGGGTAGCAATTCTTATATCAGAGAAATTAGATTTTAAACTAAAGTCTGTAATTAGAGACACAGAAGGACACTATATCATTCTATTGTAACATAACATATTGTAAATATCTATGCCCCCAACATGGGAGCAGCCATCTACATAAGCCAACTGTTAACCAAAATAAAGAGTCATATTGATAACAATATGTTAATTGTAGGAGACCTCAATACTCCACTCTCAGCAATGGACACATCATCTAAGCAGAAAATCAACAAGAAAACAAGAGCTTTGAATGATAGATTGGACCAGATGGACCTCATAGATATTTACGGAACATTCCACCCTAAAACAACAGAATACTCATTCTTCTTGAGCGCACATGGAACTTTCTCCAGAATAGGCCATATACTGGGTCACAAATCAGGTCTCAACCGATACCAAAACATTGAGATTATTCCCTGCATATTCTCAGACCACAATGCTCTAAAATTGGAACTCCATCACACAAAAAAATTTGGCAGAAATTCAAACACTTGGAAGCTAAAGACCACTCTGCTCAAGAATGTTTGGGTCAACCAAGAAATCAAAGAAGAACTTAATTCATGGAAATCAATGAGAACGAAAACACATCGGTCCAAAACCTGTGGGATACTGCAAAGGTGGTCCTAAGGGGGAAATACATAGCCATCCAAGCCTCACTCAAAAAAATAGAAAAATCCCGAATTCACCAACTAACTCTACACCTTAAAGAACTAGAGAAAAAGCAACAAATGACACCTAAGCCACACTTTAGAAGAGAAATAATTAAAATTAGAGCAGAAATCAATGAATTAGAAACCAGAAACACAGTAGATCAGATCAACGAAACTAGAAGTTGGTTCTTTGAAAGAATTAATAAGATCAATAAACCACTTGCCAGACTTATCCAAAAGAAAAGAGAAAGGACCCAAATTAAGAAAATTATGAATGAAAGGGGAGAGATCACGACCAACACCAAGGAAATAGAAAGAATTATTAGAAATTATTATCAACAACTATATGCCAATAAACTGAGCAATCTGGATGAAATGGAGGCCTTCCTGGAAACCTATAAACTGCCAAGACTGAAACAGGAAGAAATTGACAACTTGAATAGGCCAATAACCAGTAACAAGATTGAAGCAGTGATCAAAAATCTCCCAAAAACAAGAGTCCAGGGCCTGATGGATTCCCTGGGGAATTCTACCAAACATCAAAGAAGAAATAATACCTATTCTACTGAAGCTGTTTCAAAAAATAGAAACAGAAGGAAAACTTCCAAACTCATTCTATGAGGCCAGCATTCC